ATATCATGATGACAGTTGGTCTATGCCTGTATTTTGATGAAGCATGCATTTGTGCAGTGTTCTAGAAATACTAATGATACCCACAATGTGCTCAGGGAAGTGTATCATAAGGCAATTTGTTGCAATAACAGCAACAAATCATCATACTGCCCAACCCTATTGAAAGTCAGTGTACTGTACAACACAGTAATGGAAGTGCAGTACAGTAATGCAATAGCAACATACATTGTTCTATAATAACAGTAGCAATATATCATAACTTCAGCAGAAAGGTTTAGATGACAAAGTAGATCTAGATGAGCCAGATCTATGGATTTGACAAGCATGCTCATGGCTAGAAACCCACTGCAGTTGTTTTCACATAAATCCTCTTCAGTGACTACTTTCTGTAATATTTCTTGAAGACTTACTGTTCTCTGAACACTTATGTTGATTGCTTTGTCGTTGTAGCTGAGAGGACAAGGCCATTAACAGAATGCTATACTTAGCACAATTGCACTCAGCATGCTACAGAAAGTGCTTCTTAACGGGTTATGGTAGGATCTTGGATGGACCCATTTAAATATTTAAAACCCTTTTACGTCAAGAATGGGTTCTTTAAGACCCAAAGCAAGGTACACATCCTCATGGAAACGTGATGCTGACAATAAGGCATAAAAAATTTCTCTGTTTTGATATGAGACTGAGGTATAGGGCTATTTTGAAAAATTCAAACGACTGAGGCCTGCCCCTGCTCTCATGTTAATCATTTGTTATTTTATTAAATATTTTTAATACTTAAAATAACAAAGTGGTTAGTGTGAACCAATGGAACACCATACTATGAGTGTTTTTCCACTGCATAAAGTACAAGAACCTTTGGCACCCAAAAAGTAGAACTGAGCTTATTTTGTCATAAATCAGTCCAGTGCCCAAGGTTCCACTTTTATGATTTTGGTACCTGCTCAAGATTGGTATCTCCAGGACTTAATGGTACTCAAGGGTGTTCTCCTCTGTGTTTGCTAACACTTGCAGCTGATTCAAATTCTTTGTTCCAGGTGGCGATAAAGTCACTAAGCACTATGACATTGCCAATAAGTGCTTAATTCTGCACATGATTCTGTATAATTGTGAGTGCAGTAAAGCGTACTATATTATTTCATTTCAGGGATTTACTATAGCTAATTCGATAACGAAATTTGACTAGACTTGTACTTATATGACCAAAAAGATCAGTGGTTGACGGTTCCCATTGTCTCTCAAACAGATGGAAAATGAACTGCAACTAGAACCACAAGTCCCATTGTTTCCTGTTTGGGTCAGTCCTTGTTTTTGAATGCGCAGTGGAAACACATATGCAAAATGTTAAATCTTAACTAGCTAGAAAACTTTGAAAATGAACAATAGATCTTGCTTTTGTATTTAAAGATTAAAAGAAACGTTAAAAGTAGCTTTTGCTTATTTTGAGTATTATTATGACATCAGTTTAGATTAGTGATACATAAATCTTGCCACTACGGCTTAAACTATTTTACATTTTTTAAGATATTTATGGCACAAGATATTTTTATTATTTAGTCTTATTACATACAATTTTCTCCCCATGTTGGCAGATGATTAAGCTTGATTTAAGCACTTGATTTGGTTTTATTTTTGACACAGATTTTGGTGACACTTCATTTTGAGTGGTCCTTTTTAAACAACCAGTTTTTCTAAATTGAGTGAAATTACAGTCTGTGACATGTTTGTTTTGGTAAGGTTCTCTATTCATCACTGTTACAAGGACATATGAGGACAAGAAAGATATGTACGTCATGCTCTCTCATGCCATTTCTAGCCAAAGAACTCTAAGATATGGTAATAGCATGTGCATTTTAAAGACTTCACCATTTTATCCCTCATAATCTTGCCAATGAATCATGTGGGACTCTCTCTCTCTCTCCCTCTCTCTGTCTCTGTGTCTCTCTCTATCTCTGTCTCTCTCTCTCGCCCTCTCTCTGACTCTCCCTCTCTCTGGCTCTGTCTCTCTCTGTCTCTGTCTCTGTCTCTCTCTCTCTCTCCATAGCACTACTCTGAAAGACAGATAGACAGAAGCCAGGGATCTTAACCAATATTCGTTTACACATGTTTGCTTTGTGGGAATGATTTGTTATTAGCTAGTTTAATCGAGTGGATTAAAATCAATTCTTCCCATGCGCTAAAGCAATTCATAAATCATGCCACGATAACAAAGTTTTGAGGTTAAGCCGATGTACCGCATTTATTCAGCGTGGCAGGAATCGATCATTAAAAACCCCATGCATCTTCTTGACAGCATAGATTGTATTTACTCTGTGAAAGAAATTACTGCAGGCTATCTGACTTATTGAAACAAACAGCGTTTTGTACCCTTGACCTTTAGCTTGTTTTCTATGGTTGTATCCCTCTTATATTATCAATGAGGACTGTATATTGAGCAGCAACTGCTTTGAAATGCATGAGTGTGCCCTTGCAGCTACAGAGCGCTGAAATGCTTCTCAGTGTGCTGTATAAATTCTGATTTGTGCACGGAATAGCAAATAAGACTACTAACATCAGGAAATCATTAAAATTTTTATTCATTATGATAATTCAACGCTTCAAGGATCGGGCCAGCATGGTCCTTAACAGAAAACTTGTTCTGTATTAATTTGTGAATATCAACAGTTTATTCACATATTGGTCAATGAACTGGTGAAAAGAAGACGTACTCCAGAACTAATTAAGAATATAAATGCCACTCTGATATACAGTCACCTATTCAGCGTTAAAAAGAGATTTTCACCATATGCTGTTGTAACACGGATGATGGTGGATATATTTATCTTCTTTATTCCTGTCTTCTGCTGTTCTAATAAATTGTTTTATACATGGCCATAAAAGATTCTTGTAAACAGTTATAGACTGTTTATCATAATTCAGAAAGAATGGCTTAAGCTGTGGACCTTGAAATGTGAGTGATTAAAGTTGAAATTAAACTTTATATCATGTCGCATCGTGGTTAAAACAGATTCTCAAACCGTTTACACTGTTAATCTGTTATATGCATAGCTTGTTTTTATTTTGCAATTTTCTGTGAACTTTTTAATGCCTCATTATATCAGTTTATGGAGCTTATTAATGGATCTTTGTATTTCCTCCTCCCTGTATTTCATTTAATTACATCACACCCTTCTCATGCTCACAATAATTAATTTATGTTCCGCTTGAGAAATGGGTGTCAGTTAATGCAGCACAACAATCTGATGACTTGGTAATTTGAGTGAAGGGAAATGCAGCGTGAGTCAGATTGAGGCAGGTGTCATTGAGGAGACGCTCTGAGAACGTGAACAATTTCTGTGATATGATCGAGTGTGCTAGCTCACACTTTTATAATCGTGAGCAATATGTTTTTGAAATGTTGTGAAAGCTAACAGTACTGTGCAAAAGTCAGAGACCACCCTTCATTTATTTAATTTACAGTCAAAAAAGCTGTTAAGTACAAGTCATTCATTTTTCTGCATCGGGAAAAAAGGCACAAGACATATGGAGTTTCATTCCATAGTGCTGTTTATGAACTTGTAACGATTTTGGAAATGCATACTGAAGAACATTGTTATTTTTGTATTTTAAATATATTAATCATAGCATAGCTTTAATATTTCTTATGTGTGTAAAGCCCACTGCCAACAGCTTACAATATCATGAAAAAAAAATTCCTGAAATTAGTCTATAATGCATTTTGGAATGAAACCCTTTGTATATTTAACAGAAAACCATACAGAAGCCTCAACAACTGAACTTAAGACTCATACTTTGCACATTGTAAGGTTTACAGGTATGACTGTATATGTGTGTGTGTGTGTGTGTGTGTATGAATAAGTGATGGTAGGAATGCTTGTTTTATTTTATGTTATTTAATTAAGTTTTTATTTTATTTTATTTACTACATGTAAATGTTTGTCTGATACTGTGCGCTGTGAGCTATAACCAAAACCAAATTCCTTGTATGTGTAAGCATACCTGGCCAATAAAGCTTGATTCTGATTCTGATTCTGACTAAATATCAACTAAGTATCAAATGTTTTTCCACTCCTCCAAAATTCAGCATTAGAAGTTAAAGATGTCTCAAAGATGAAAGCTTTAAGTACTGTTTATCTGATGATGCCAGTTTTGTTGATCCACCACCCATGAAACACAAGGCCCATGGGCCAACTCAGGCATGTGACACAGTCCTATTTGGCCGACAAAATTATTTTAATTTTCTATTCTTATTAGACTGTTTCACCCTGAGATGCACTACAGTCCCCAGCATGCACTGCAACATAGTGTGCATTTTGAACCTCTTCTCCCAACTGCAATCTGTGGGCCAGCGGTTACACAAAAAAAGAAGCCTGGTGTCTATAGGCAGTTTAAAAAAAAAACTACCTAAAACAATTTATTTTTATTTAGAACTATTTTTGAATAAGTATTCAGTGCCTATTTTGCTGTTGCTGTTTTGGCAAATTTTGAATAAACAATGGTCCATTCGAGTCATAGATAGATAGAACTTTATTGATCTTGAAGGGAAATTGCAGCAAAAGTCATGGAAAAATATTAATAAAATAAAATTTTTACTTTTGGCCCACGGATTTGCTGAGAATTTTTAATATGGCCCTTTTAGAGGTTGAATTTGACACCCCTGATCGACAAGGTCTTGCGTGGTTGTTATGAGTCCCTTTTTTTCTACATCTCCGACTTCAGTTTTGGAAACTCCTGTTCTTTCTTTCTTTTTTTTCCCTTTGATCTTTCCCCTTTCCTATGCGAGTGGATTATCTTCTATCAAGTATCTTCAGAAATACAAGTTATTCATCCTGAATAATGAACAACTTGTACTTAGCATGGCATCTGACTTTTCTGAACTGTATATTTCATACTCCTACTAACTGCCTCCAGATTAAGTCTATTCATCAAACTTTTGCAAGCTGAAGGTTGTTCCATGTTCCTAACAATGTACTGATGTGTATTTTTTTTTCTTTTTCCAGCTCCCATTAACCCACACCTGAGTGAGTATTTATTCCTTTTTACTGGAAATATGAACTATTGTTTGTGAGCTTCCCAAGTCTTATCTGTAGCTGTGAATCCTACAGTAAGCTAAGGGTCTGCCTGCAACAACAATTCCTGTCTGTCTCCACAAAGCCCCCATTGCTATCTCCCGGCACAAGCTCCGTCCTATCCCTCTCCCCTGTGGTGTAGAGGAGATTGCAGGCAGCCCACCTGATCTCTTGCAGAGAGAGAGGTGTTAGCAGTGCTGCTAGGGCCAAAACCCCCATTTAAATCCTCAGGCCTGGAGGAGGGCAGGAGTCAAGAGCCTAGTCTCTTGCACTGTCTTAACCAAGAGTGAGCTGCCTCTCAGTGCTACCTGAGTAAAACCCCGCAGATCCCGCCTCTCTGAAGGTCACCACTCCACACTGCTCCCAGCTACGTTTTAATAAAATCAATGAATATTTATCGCAAGCAGCTCAAGCGGAATTTCAATAGCTCCTCAGCAATGCTGTGAAAAGGCGGACAGGCCTTTAAACTGTTTGCCGGTGGCTTGGACTGGCTCTATCGATTGATTTTGTTGTAAGGGTTTTGTCAGTGTGTTTAGGAAGTTATACTACCTCAAGTAAGTCCCTGATCATCAACCTGAACGTCCCTTTGAGCTTCTTAGCTGTGTCTGGTTGTTCTGTGCTTTGGAGCTCGCCAAAATGATTGTGTCTATCTGTCTTCTCAGGGGAGTTTCATTGCAGTTTCGAGGAGGAGCCTATTTGCATGTTCACTCAGGACAAGAACGACAACTTCGATTGGACGAGACAGAGTGCTGCCACGCGTGACACTAAATATACTCCCAACACAGGACCCAGCGGGGACCGCAGTGGCTCAAAGCAGGGTATGTATGGCAGCTGAGCACTGCCCAACCCTCAGGACATGGACAACCATCATCATCTCAGCAGTCATTAGTGTTTCATCCTTTATTTTGCGGGTATGGTGGGATGCATTTACATAAAGTCTTCAGCAGCCCAGAATGAATTCTTGTTAACTTCCAAATGTCATTCAGCGGTTTAATTTGGACAAATCCCAGCTGTACACATTATGCTGTATAATTCTTGACTTAAAATGAAAATGCCCAAAACATGCAGTAATGGTTTTGAAAGTAACTTGAAAGAGAAAAAAAGTGTTCAGCAGTTGCAACAGCGATTCAGTCTGACCTCCATTTATTGACACGTCCACAAAGAGGCTTTTGATCGGGAGGAGAAGGGGGTGGGGGGGGGTCTGGAGGGAGGCATGCTGGTGATTGTGGCTTTTATGGGAATGCAGCAGCAGCTGATGTTGTAAATAATAAATTTGCTTTAATCATCCTAATAGCTCAAAACTGTCCAACATTTCATTACCATCAGAAGTCCTCCATGGATTGTAATTATCCCATATCAAATTCAGCAGAAGACGAAATTCTATTTGATTTTGGCTGGAGGGTCTTCAGTGCCTACCTTCCTCCTCACGAGTGCCTCTGTAGTCCTACTGGAGAGGAGTTCACCATTAATGCATTGGAAATATGTTTCTACCCTCCAACTCTGAAAACAGTACAGAATGTATATATGTATGTAGTGTCTGTGTATATAAATATTGTAGCGTCTTGGCAAAGAATAAGACATGGGAGAGGTCATGATTTCCTTTCCTCACTTTGCCATAAAAGTGCTCTTTATTGACACCAGCGGAAAAGACACATAAACATAGCTAGGAATAGCAGGCAAGGTCACTTCTGGCCATGGCTCTTTACTCTACAGTAGTCACCCACTCTAACTAACCCCACTGCATAACACATAGTGACACAATAAACACATTCACATACCTTCTACTAATGAACAACAGCATAAACAACAAAGACATCAACCTTTATCATCATTTTGGCAGAGGTGGCAGGGCGTGTGGCGAAGATCTGCATACCATGCCTCTAAAGCCACTTCTGCGAACCGGAGCAAGTGGCAGCCAGTATGATACTTACTTTACTATGCAAAAGTCTGAGACCACCTTAAATTTATTTAATTTCTAGTCACAAAAGCCATTAAGAACAAGTAGATAATCTACTTTCATAATGGGTTAAAGTGAAAAAAGGTTTCCAATGGTTGGACTATTAACAACCATGCAAAACCTAGTAGACCACCAAAATTGTCACCATCAGATGAAAGGTCTTGAATCCTTGATCTTTAAGCTCCATGTTTGCTTTGGATCTGAAACAATCAGTGTTTCTGTCCATCCTTCCACTGTGAGAAGACAACTCAACACTAGAGGGATGTTTAGCTGTCAAGCAACCATTACAGGAAAACAGGCAAAAAGCAAGAAATCTGCAAATCAGACAAAGAAGCTGCTGATGTTCTCAGGACAAGGCACTGACCACCCCTGGGACCTTAACATCAGTGAGTATGTTTGGGATTACTTGGATCGTGAGATGCAGAAAATGCAACCTCTAAGACTGAACTTTGGAGGTGCAGAAAAATATTTCTGCCATCCATGCATGCAGAAAAGGCTTTGCAGAAATGGAATAGAAATAATCAGTAAGTTTATTTATACAGCACATACATTTCAGACAATACAAAGTACATATACATATACGACTCTTCTTAGTCAATCATACTCCTTTTCTCATATCTTTAAATCCACTACGCAATGGAGCCTAGTGAAAATTGTTCACTTAGAGGTAGTGCCAAAAGCACTTCACGGCAGAGGTGACCGAGGTGCTTGTGCGTGAAGTGCAAGCCCAACATGAGCAAATATTTGGAAGTGCCAAGCACCCGCCTTGACTTGATGAAGTGAAGAGAGCTTGGGAGCAGGTAACAGTTTACATTAATTCAGGTTCACCTAGTGAGGTGAGAACTGCTCCACAGTGCACAAAGCAGTTCAGCAATGTCAGGCTTGATGAAGAGGGGGGCGTATGACAGCAGTCTTCATCCGGCAAGTGAAGGAACGATGTTCTTTGCCGTCTCTCACCTTCTCTTATATCTTCTCCTCACAATAATGATATTCCATTAATGTTAAAGCATAGCACATTCAGGTGAGACAGACTGTTCACCAGATATTCAAAGTCAAAATCATTGCAATGCAATAACAGACAATCAAAATGGAAAATGTTTTATTATTATGAAAATATAATTTTATGCAGCCCTGAGAGAGAATGAATTTTGAGTATTGTGAGGTTTATGCCTGTCTTACCTAATCCTGAGAGCATGTCAGGTGAGGATGAGTTATGATTCATTGCATGTGGCCTCCAGTTATTAATCATGTCCATCTACTGTATCATAAAATCACTGTACAAAGAAAAGCTTGTATCTCTGAAATAGTAAATTTAAAGGAGTTAATCTTTAATGTGCACTAATATTTAAGCATTTATTCTTATTTTTTTTATTTTGGATGATTACTATCAGTCTTGAATTTGTCATGAAATGGTCACACAGTGTACAAAATATATATGAGATTAACAAATGGCATATAAAAAGTTACAAGGTTTAAAATGATACTGATGATAAATATTATTATCAAGGGTATTATTATTATAATTTCAAGCACACATTTTTATATGCTATTGAAATCACTGAATTATCAAATGAATGTACTGAGTTTAAACTTACACTACCTCATTAATATGTAATTTCCAATCTGTTGCAACGTTGCCACCATTACACAATGGGAGGTGCACAGTGCACATAATTAGCACAAGACACTTTCTATATAGTCTGTTATATTGTAATCAGAAGTGAAAAGGGTCAGATTTTACTGGGGTAACCATTGAAATATACCTCATATTTTTTATCAACCAACAAATAAAAAATAAATATATCTAGTGTACTCCTGTATATGTAAGATATTGTTCTGTTACAATGAAAAGCTGAAAGCTTCAGCATTTCTTTATAGAAGCTTGATATTTGATATACATTTTACATCAGGGTCTCCAACCTTTTTTTTGCTGAAAGAACAAAAACACTTCATGTCTGCGTATTGCCAGCAATTCAAAATACTTTTGATTGTTCAGTCTTGTTTATTTTTCTTACACAGAGTAGAAAAGATTATAAGGAACTGGAAATGGAATATATATATATATATATATATATATATATATATAATTTTCATTCTCTAAAGAGCCTTTAATTGCAACAAAGTCTTTCATTAAGGCAGAGTATAAGGATTCAGGCAAAATGTCAAACACTTGTCAAAACAACCACTAATTCAACAAAAATACTAAACCATCTTGCTTACTTATGATGTGATCTGCTTAGCTAGAACATCAAAAATGTCCAAAGTTCATTCAGTAACATTTTTTATATTTAGATATCTAACATGCAGTGAATGGTTGACATTAACAGGCTAACTTGGTATCAATAATTACTTCCTCTTTGGCAAATGTGTTAATTTACCATGGACCTTTTTAAAATGACCTCACTTACTGAACTTTTCAATAAGCACATGAATCGTCAAAAATGATTAACTGCATAGAGTGGACTAGACAATCACATGATATCACTAAGGTTTGAAGAAACTTGAACATAAATTAACATTTTTATTGTTGATTGTGGAGTCACTTAGCTGCTTTTACCTTCCAAACACACAGACTTCTTTCAGAATGCATTACTATGAAGACTAGGTGGGTGGACTCTGTAGCACCACGACTTTCCATTGTATGAACGGGCTGTAGGCTGGACTTGGGGTGTGTTCAACACCACTTCGGTTCAGCATATGCTTTAGAAACAATGTAAAACAACTATATGTGGTTTTCCCTATAAAAACAATAGTCAGTCTGAGCTGGAACGCCGTTCTATCCCTCATTTTACACCTGGAACAGTATTCAGGTGCATTCCAGCCCATTTCCACCCCTGATTGTAGTGCTGTATGTTTTATGCACACATGAAGTTAAGCCCTTGTAATAGAAATCTCACATGTATTTCTTTATGTCATGATAGGTTTCTACATGTACATAGAGACCTCCAGACCTCGTAAAGAAGGAGAGAAGGCACGATTGCTGAGCCCCACCTTCAATGTTGCCCCAAAAAATCCTTATGGCATCACCAACCCTCCAGCGTACTGCTTTGGCTTTTATTACCACATGTATGGGAAACACATTGGTAAGTGCGGGCTTGTCCTAAAACCTAAAACTTTATCACGACAGTTTCTTTTTAACAGGTTCTTCTTCAGCTCACTGTAATAACAGTACTACCACAACCACCAGGAGAATCTGTGGAGTAAATGACTGTAAAGACACATCTTTTCTGACAGCCTCTTAGAGCAGGCCCACATAACTGTACCATTAATATGACAAGTTACTGGACTCGATAGTTTATGTCAGCTTCTGGCATACAGTGTAATGGGGAGAGTAGCTGCACAGCCCGTAGCCAGTGAGGCTGACCTAAATCACTCCTGATAACATCACTGGACCCGTTCCTGTCTCGCAGGAACGCAGGAAACGCAGCAGACACATGCTATTGCTAATAGAACAATAATGCCACCGTGTCAGAACACATAGACTAATGCTGTAATAAGGTGAACACAGTACGTCTGCTTTGCCCATGCCAGAGCAGTTACTGTCCGCCTGCCTCCCCTTATTCTTCTACACAACTGGGTTTGCTTTAACCACTCTGAGCTGTGCTTTTGAGAGCACTTTCACCAGGCTTTGCTGCTGCTGTCCTCGCCTCTCCCTTGAGTGGGAATATGTGTTTCGCCCGGCGAGGAGAGAGATTGGATCTCAAGCAGGCAAAACTGTACACTCCCTGCTGTGATATCTGTCATGTCATTGAGTCCAGGGGGAGTTTCTCGCCATCTCCATCTGATGCCATCCATTGTGCCGTGGCCTTTGCGCCTGTCCCTGTGCCCCGGCACTAGCACTGCTGCTAATGCTCCGGTGCCGTGAGCACTGCCATCAGGCATGACTAACCGAAGAATTTGCCGGCTTGAGAGGCAGCACATTGGGGCCGCGGGATACTCTTGTGAAAGGGCAAAGGCAGCCTTTTACATGGCTGTGTTCATGTGGGATTTCATACATGGCTTGTAATAACTTATGCTGTCACACACACTATAATATTTTATTCATCCATGCGAAGAATTCATTCGAAAAAAATGCTTTTCACACATTTTGCATTTGCAGAAAATCTTCTGAGAGGTCAATGTCTTGAAAGAATTCATTTGAAATGACTGCTTGAAAAAAAATGTGGTGTGCACTCGATGTCTTGTAAATTTGAACTGTAAAACTGGTAGGGCCCATGTGATGCCACACTACAAGTCATCATTATTATAACTACAAAACTAATATTAAAATCAGAATCAGGTTTTATTGACCATGTACATTTGCAAATGTAAGGAATTTGTCTTCATAACATTTTATCTTCAACCGCTAGAACATACTTGTACATAAAATCCTATAAGAGGCATCCACAAGATGGTCATAATGCAGCTGCTTTTATAAGGCATTTTTTTTCATCTGTGCAGAACGCTTTCGAAAACAGAAAAAAGGTCAACTTCCCAGAAAAACAAGTGTTTTGACAAGTGTTTCTTTGTCAGCCAACCCATCATGTCACAGCTCGGCAGGCCAGTGAAAACAACCAAGATAGAGAGTAGACTGTTAGAAAAATAAACTGTTTATCAGTCTTGTTAGTATCTACATTAGCTATTTGCAGAAGCACTCTTCTCTTGATTTACTGCTACAAGACTAAGGCAAGTAGCCTACTTTTAACAAGAGATATGTTAAATTTTGAGAAATCTATCTTTTTGTTGTTAGTAATGAAAATAAATCTAATATAGACAGCTAGCAATGGTAGCTAATTAGTGCTACAATTGAATACAAGGCAGAACTCAGTGATAACGGTGTTTTCATGGCTGTAATGCACAAAAAGAGTTTCAGGCTAGTGACATGCACAGACTTTGGAAGGGGTTGGCAGAAGCTGAGGTGTTTCAAAACAGCATTGCTCACTTCATCAGCTTTTCATAAACCTAGACTCTCAAAATGTGTCTTGATATACTGTATTACCATAAAAGTCCTGCATAAACTGTATTACTTTTATAATGCAGACTTTTCATTATGACTCCTATTATTGCCATTTATAACAAATAAGAATGGCATACAGTTTTGCACAATATGAAGTTGAAGTCAATGTTACTTGTGATTGATCCACTGGCATTGTCAGATGATGCAAACAGAACACATCAGGCAAGTTCAGGCATAGGAAAGAGCAGCACTGTGTGATCAGGCTGGTGTTTTTAAGCTCTTTTGTAAAATTGCAGAGACAACCAAGCTGTGCCTGCCCTCCAGTGATAGTTTTAAGTTTTACACAAGTTTTACACAGCGTCATATGAAGCATTTATAGGCCCTTAAAAAAGGCAATAATGATTCTGAGACAAGAGAGACAGGGGGTCATGCCTATATACCGCCCCCCCCCCATACACACCAGTGCTCCAAGCAGCCCTTTTCTATACATAAAATATGTGTGAATACAGCCTTGAACAATAGCTCACAATTTAAAATGTTTCCACATAAACTTTATAACCTTTATTAAATTTCTGCATATTTTAGCTGTTGAGGTGTAAACAAAGTCATTCAGAGTGGTTTGATGTGAAATTGTAGAGAAATTTACTTGCTAAGGCTGGTGGGAACCAGGGATTGCAATGAATACAACACAAATGTAGCTATTTTATTTACAATCCATTTTATTCACCAGTGAACTCACACGTGTCTACTGAGGTTTTATATGTAATATTGATAATGGAAAATTAGGGACAAACATAAAAAATAAGTTTTCTTTGGGGACTATCTTGCATTATAATGCTTTGCATGCCTCTTTTCCATGAACAGGTTTATAAAAATCAATTTTAGACCCAAAGCTTATCTGGAAACTATTGTAAAACAATGTGTCAGATATCAGACAGTGTATTCATAACCAATTCATATAATAATAACTTTCTGAACTTTTAAAGCCATTCAACTATTCAAATGTCTGGTTCCCATCACCACCACTGTGAACAATTCTGACTCAGCAAGTTTCTCTAGAATGAAGCATTTCACATCAAACCACTCTGACTGACCTTGTTTACATCTTAATGATTATATATGCATAAATGTAAAAAATGTGGTTGAACTTTACCAGTAGTGATATTGCCAGTGTTTGGGGGCCAGCAACCTTTCATACACTGCTTTCTGTGGTGGTTCAGCCAAGAGGCACTAAACATGAGTGAACGCAGGTAGTTATGCATATATATATATTATATATTATATATACATATTTCACATGATCACATTTTTTCACATCTGAACATGTTAATTCACAAGTGATAACATATTTTTAACATGTGAAGTGTGCAAAAACCGCATGTGTTTATTTACATGTAAAATGCATGTGACTTTTTTTGTAAAGGCCAATTAGCAGCTCTAAATATTTGCTTTTTTTTTTGCAGTTGTATATGCCTGTGTGTTAAAACGAACACAGGAAAAGAAACAAACCCATGCTGATTCTACAGCGTTACCCATAATGATGGCAATGTGAAGAAATGACCATATAAGTGTTTCTGTAAATGAGGATCAGATGCAAACCTTAGCTGGCAAATTAAGTGAACACCGATGTGACATCAGTGCTGCTTGCGAAATTGCAGCATATTTAAATCAATGTGCCAAAGTGCACATTGTGGAGTGGAGTTTTTGGCATTATTTGATTTTTAATAGACAATTTCCTTGCTTAGTTAAACATTTAAGCAATTAACATTCCCGTGTCTAACGCACACACAAAGAAACACACACACACCTAGGAGTACATGCACTCCACTCCTGACTGAAGTGAGGCTGCTCGTGAGGGTTGACATTTCCAATTTAGGAGGCAGCACCTCACATTTGTCCTGCTGAACTGAAAGGAAATCTATCAGTGTTCTTCATGCCATTCCACCCCCTACATAGAGAAGAATTCCCTTCTTCGGGCTAGAATTTTTTTTCCAGAATTCACCATGAGGAATGGCTCCACTGAGGTGTAACCTATTCTTTCATTTTTGTCTCTGACCCGGCATGAGAAATGTAGCTTTGCACTCGCCTTTAAACCACTCTAAACCGAAAACCAGCCTGCATGCGGTTCTGCTTGATTACGGCACGGAGCCCTCATGCATTTCTCTGATCAAATTTTACCAATCTGTAAGCCCCAAAAACACAGAAGCTTGGGGGAGCTTTTGAACTGAGGTGGTATTTGTAGACCACAAACAGCCTCAACCAGAAGCATCCAGAGACTTCCACAAACAGCACAAACACAAAGTCGGCAGAGACATGCACAGAGCATCTCTGGGTCCCAGCGGTGGCAGGCTTAAAGTGAACAGGCCAGCAGACCGCAGCTTTTTTGCGGAGGACTGGATCTTTACCATGGATTAGCCTGGGGGACCGACACAGCTATATTTTATTGTGGGGGGTGAAGTGTGGTACCTGGGACGACAAGGTCAGAGCTAATTAATGAGGCACACTTCAAAGTTTGCCTTTGGAGTTCTCTGGCTCTCTCTCTGAGTTTGTTTACGGGATTAAGTCATCCGACTCAAAGCAAATACTCACTTTTGAATGCCTGTCCCTAAGAGGCTAAAGGATCAGAGCACTTTCATTAGAGGCGAGGCTTAATGCTATTCATCCTCTGGAGCATGGCAGTAGCTTTCTCTGTGACTTACAATGGGCCACGTCCAAGTGAGAGCATACCTAAAGCATACGGTATTCATCTGTAAATGAAACTGTTTATCCCTGTGGGTGTCCTCACACACAAGTTCCACTTTCTGTCTCTTTCCCCCTCTCTCTCTCAAAAAATAATAAGAATAGAGTCGACTTTGGGGGAATAAAGGGGATAGTGCTTCAGTGGTAATGGGAATCCTATTCTGGAACTGTTTATCTCTGTACCACCCAAGCAGGGATGTACAGATCATAGCGTCTTTGCTTGTTCAGACTGCCTTACTTCTAGAGGACACCATATAGTTCAGTTTGGATAGATTATTACTGTGCTTTTGAAATACTTGAACAAGTAGACTTTATGACTAGCAAGTGTCAGGCTTGTTCAATAGCATACAATAACGTAATTCACTTTGAGGAATATTTGATGAAGTGTTGGAATTGAAAGATGCATTATAAATCATATTTATAAGCCATCTTTAGATGTTTCACAAAGATCAGCATAAAGTATTGATAATGTCAATTAAATCCATTAATTGCCATTGTCAATATTTTATGTGGATATTTCTGAAAGCTCTAAAAGTGGGTCATAAATTTGATTTGATAGAGGTAGCTTTGTTCTGAGGGATTGACCGAATGTCTTTGCAGGCACTTTGAATGCGTTCATGAAGCAGAAAGGCCAAGCTACTTCAGATGCCAGTCCAGTCTGGTCACTCAGTGGTAACCAGGGGGAACGGTGGAGACAGGCCAAAATCAGCATCCACCCCACTTCCTCCTTCCAGGTGAGCGCACTGGCACATCAGCGGCGTGCTGTGTCATGCTTAAAATAAGCCAAAGAAGACTTATGTTCACTATAACTGGACTGTCAGGTTCCTGTTAGTGCTGGGAGGTATTGATAAAGTTCAAATATATCACAGTAGTTAATGATGTCTAAGTGTGCATAAGTTTTAATACTTCATGAGTATTGTACACTAAAGGAATATCTCACAAACCTGAAAGAGCATTTTAATGGGAAAAAAAAAACATTTTATTGGAATAGAACATTATCGTGAACATAATATCCTTTATCTATCAAACTGAAATTCAATTTCATGTGGTGACACCAGCTGAATAATGAATGATATATAACTAAACACTAGTTCCAATACTTGTATAGTGTCCATGTGCTTATTTGCTTATTCACAATGCAGACATATAACAGTAGTTAGTGTCTGACAACAGGGTGTAAAGACAGATGGCAAATTGTACTGCATTACATTTCTTTAATACAACAGATCAGTAATTGAATTATTCTTCTCCTCTATGATTCTGATCTAAATTTCCTTCTTATTATCTCATTATCTTGTTTATTGCTAGACTGAGTCTGTCTGAGAACACATTAGAACATTTTGATTGCTGATCCATTTTTTTAAAAACTGCATTTTAGCATTTATTACATATTTCTGAAATAAGTGCTAAATCAAGATCTTTATGATTTTGCAGGCTTATCATAAACAGCCTTTAATTACCATTTAAGTGCACCTAAGCAAATTCTTCAGGTCTATACTGTTGAATCTTACATTACAGATTAGGCTCTGCAGTGTACCTCAGCTCGTTCTTATTTTTGTTTGCCTTTACACAGGTGATCTTTGAAGGCATTCGAGGTCCAGGGATTGAGGGCGACATCGCTATTGATGATGTCACTCTGGAGGAAGGGGAGTGTCCTGACCCTCCGTCCAATCGTATGTATTAAATATGCATCACCATAGTAACCAGCCTGTGATGTGAGAGTGCTAGCAACCCTAACTGTGCCCAGTAGAGTTCTGTAATTGTGCTTGGGGACAAACAGTGAGAGAAAATGGAAGTCAAGACAGGTAATGGTCTGGAATTGACAGGGCTATTGACAGGGAAATAAGGATTTTGTTCCTCGCAGCTTGATCTTTGATGAAATCCATGAGCAAATAGGGTGGCTAAATGGGTTGCCGTTGCTTTTCTCAGCAATACCAGGCTTGTTCCTGTATCAGCTGGAACAATCTTTCTGTTCTCGCTGCGGTGTGCTGCAAAGTCCTTTTATTTGATTAATGTGCCTTAAATGTGCTCTCACAATGAATGAATCACACTAATATCATTACAAAGGAAGTTTCAATAGTTCACGAATTTTAAGTAGTACAGTAAATGTTCATTGAAGACTCGTATTTCTTGAAATCTAAACTTCTGGCTCACTGTAAAAGTGATTTGATGATGTAACTTAAAAACTAAGTTAACCTGGCTGCCTCAAAGAACTTCACCAACTTCACCAGCTTTCAAAAATTCTTTGTTGTTCCTAAAAGTTTCAAGATGTAAACAAAGTAATTCAGAGTGGTTTGATGTGAAACTTGAAACTTATCAAGTCAAAATTGTTCACAAAATTGACATCTGAAGAATTTGATTCTTGTAAGTTCCCTCACAGAAAGGTTTTACATGAAATGGTTATGAATATGCTGTCTCATGTCTGAGATGTTCTTTTATGATACTTTTGAGATAAAGTTTTGGCCTAAAATGTATTTTTTTAAAGCCATTTATGGTGGAGAGGTACAAAGAGAGTGTTATAAGGCAAAAGAGTCCCCAAAGACAATTATTTTTGACAGATTTACCACTCTTTTATTATTTTCAACAGTACATATTAAACCTCAGATGATGTGTAAATTCACTGGTTGTTTTGGACAGTAAATATGGCTATATGTGTGTTGTAGACATTGCCACCCCTGCTTCCAATCACCACCACTGTAAAGTAGTCTGAGTCTGTACATTTCTCTACAATGCATACTCTGAATAACTTTGTTTACATTGCAACAATTGAACTATGCAGACATTTTTAGAAATTGGTAGACTTTTCTTCAATATTTAGATTTCATTGAACTTCCTTTAGCAGGTTGAAATAATGTAACATAGATTATTGTTTGTTAACCTACTATTAGAAGTTCAGTGAACTCAAAATGTAAACTTTTTTACTTTACTATCTCTCTCTGTTTCTCTCTCTCTTGTCACCAGACATCAGATCCAAGGCTCCATACAGAGCGACACATATATGGCCGTTATGCACCGCCCTGGCTTTCACATTGTTTCGAGGTCAGAGGTGACCACCTGGTTGGGTGGAGACTGGCAACAGCATCCGAGTCTGTGTCCCTGTACCCTCAATATATAATCACCAAAGATTCAAACGTTCAGATTGCTGAGAGGGACACAGCACTGGCTCAACATGGATTATCAGAAATAAAAAATTCATGAAAAAAGAGGAAAAAAAAACAACACAAAAAAGTAATAAGGATTCGCAAAATGTATCTATTGAAAACAATCTGCAAACTCTGTTCCAGTAAGATGCTCGCAGGGACTCAACGAGAGAGCACTTTACAAATGGAGTAAGTTGGTTATAGGAGATGAGGCTCATCAGGAAGGGCTCCCACGCAGACCTGAGGACAGTTTGTAAAGCACAAGGACAACTTTGCCAGCTGGCAGTAAAAAGCTCATTAAAAAAAAAAGGTGGGGAAATGAAAGGTGATAGCAGTCTCCCCTAGCTCTTTACTACGAACACCTTTCAGTGTGTCATCCTTTCTGTCCTTCATCACATATTCGGCTTGTTCTTCACCTCCCACTCTTCAGTTAACCACAAGATTTTTCTCTTCTTTTCTGGCTTGGTGCTTTAGAACACAGACTAAAAAAAATAATAATAAACTGTGGCAAAAACAAACATCTAATATCTGCTTTATATCCCACCCTGAGTAGCTGCCTATTTTGATTTCACAACACTGTGCTCACGTCCCCTAGGGGCAGGCCAGGGGTAGGAGACCCGGTCAGAGGTTACTGGGAGCGATTGGTGGAGTAGGAGAGAGAGGAGAGGAGGTGAAGACTGACATGCAGAGGCCTGAGGCAGGAGGCCGTGGAGTTTGGAGAGGTGGAGAGAGGTCGTGATGAAGATGAAGATGAAGAAGAAGAGGAAAGATCAGCACTTCTTCTCCTCCTCTATTCTCCACTGCCAGAAACGTGACATAATCGGTGCCACTTTCTGCCATGAAATACAAAGTGCCTTCAGATTATTAACAGAATCGTGAGCCTGGCCATTAACACCAATGTCAATGTTTCTAATGTCACCGATGGGCTATTTTGTACACGATTATTTTGCTCCTTCAAGTGCTGATTTGAATGGCACAACCATTTCAAGTGGAGATCGAAGATGGCCCCAAAAGTCAGCACAACAGCCTGCCCGCGAAGCGCAGAGGTGGGTCTTTGGGAGGGTCCTTCATCACGTAGGTAGCCATGGCCTCTAACACGAGAGCAAAGACGGCTGTTCTCCATGGCCGCTGTCGCACTGTAACATAGCCGTTGTGCTGTACTGAGATCAAAGCAGGTCACTGGACGATGGCTAAAATGCCACACCGAGACACAGTGGCCTGCCCTGGTCATTGCTTTAGTCAGAGTCTCCTCAAGTGGACCTTAGAACAATAAACACAGTAGTACACCACCAAGGAGTTAACTGGCAGGTGACGAAGCCTGCGTCAAATATGGCCTACTGTCCCCTACCCACGCCTCTGCCATTTATATACTGAACAATGTACATTCTGAAAGAAAACAGATATTAATAATTATAATAATATTTTATTACTCTAGCGAGAATGTTTCTCTGATTTTACACAAACTGTGAAAATAAACTGTGGAAAAATCTACCTGAGAGTATCCATGACCAGCTGGTTTTTAAAACATATTGTAAAAAAAAAAAGAAAAGGAGAAGAACATTTACGTATATTGTTGGTTATGAAAAAAATGTTTTGAGGAGCTGTGTCTTGTTTTTTATTTTTTTCTGTTGAAACTGTTATGACTTTTAACTTTCTTTAATTCTTGTCGTCTCCCTTGCATTGCTAAAATATCAAAATGGCCAGAACTATATTGAATAAGTCGGTTTGGTAAATGTATAACTTGTATATGTAAAGAAGCTCTGTTAATCAAGGTTTATATGAAATGTTTATGTATGAATACAGGAAGCACAAGATTTAGGGATTAAAATGCAGTATAAATTCATATATGTGACTTCCTTCTTACAAAGCCAAGTATATCAAAATTAGGGACTGAAAATTGGACATGCCTTGGTAATGCATAATTTGATCTGACACTGTTTTTGATCTGACACTGTTTTTGACTTTTGCTTCCATTACTGAAACGGCAACTTCACTCTTACTGTTTGTGTGGCTTTGCAGCCGTGAATCTGTGAAAGCGTCACTGGTAATAGTTCTGTCAGCCATATGTTGAGAGACATATGTATGCTATTTAAAAAAGTATTTTTTAAAAAAGTAAAAGGTATTTTCACTGTCATGGTGGTCAAACTAGTCAGTAGTCAAAAAAAGGGTTAAAAGCATGTTAATAAATCATACATTTCGCTGTTGTCGAAAGAAAACCTCGTATCTCCAAAATGGTAACTTTACAGGAGAAGGAAAAAATATACTTTACTTTTAATGTAAGTCAATGGAACCTTTTTTTCCAAGTCATTTTGGGCCATTTCTTTTGGTCCATTCATTATGAAATTTACATACAATCTAAGGGGCAACAGGCATTTTCAAATTATGTCAAAAACTGAAAAATGACAAAAATAGAGATACAAGGTTTTCTTCTGGCAGCAGCGATATACAGTATTTTAGAACTGCTGTTCAAAACTAGAACATAAATTCACAAAAAACAAATGACCACTTTTATTTTATTTGCTTTCATTTTAATGTTTTTCCTGTTATTATTTTGATAAAATACTGTATATTGGAACAGCTAGTTGAATGATTGAAACCGCTGAATTACAGTAAAAGGCAGTATTTATGGAATTCAAATTTTACTAATTTTTACTATCATTAAGAAAACATTTTTTACAGTGCATGTAAGCTCACCGGACAAAACAAATTAGTCACCTGTGACTGAAATGTACCTAATGGCATGTAATACCTCCACAAGCATGAATAACATGGACTGGGCAAATTTTAGCCACTCTTGCATTAAAGAGTTGCGCAGTTCGGCCAGATTTTGTGGATGCCTTCCCTGGCGTCTTACTCGTTGTTCCAGGTAGCTCCACAGATTTTCAAGAGGATTAAAATCTGGGGATTTTGCAGGCCGGTCCAGATATGTGAATGCTCCGGAATGTTCATCATGCCAATCAGTCACATTAGCAGCCCTGTGATGGGATAATTGTCATTTTGGAAAACAGGGATAGGAATGTTATGTTCGTCGGTAAGATGAACAAAAGGTGAAACCTGGCTATTCAGCATCTCAGTGTAGGCACTGTGGTCCAAATTTACTGTCAGCTCAACTAAAGGACCCATTTCTGTTTAATTAAAACACCCCAGAACATCACAGAGCTCCTCCAGCTTCAACCAAACCTTGAACACAGTCCTCACTAAAGGCTTCCTGGGGTCTACAATGAACACTATAGGCTAGCATCATTCATATACAGGCAGAAATGAGATTCATCTGACTATATAACGTTTCTAGTCATGAACAGTCCAATGTTTGTGTCTCTTCGCCCACTGTAACCAGGCAACTTTGTGAGCAGGAGTGAGTAAAGGCCTCTTGCGTGCCACTCTGGTTCATATGTTTATGGTATGCAGTTCCCTGCAGAGTGATCTTTCAGAAATTGGTTGTGAAGGACCTGCATTGACTTCTAGAAGCAATTCTTGCCCCGAAGCAAAGCAATTTTAATTCACACCCCGCAGGTATTTATAATGCAACGCCATCTGCAGGAGCCTGAAGTTACTACCACTCTAAACATGCAAGGTGACTAATTTTTTGTCTGAGGAGCTTATGTACAAGTTTATTTGAAGGGGCAAATTCTAAACTCATATTCCCATCCTAACTGAAGAAGATTTTAACAGAAAAAGAAAGCAGAATCTATTGTTTCCACAGCCTTGGTTTTGTTAAGAGTGAGTCACATATATGTCCTGGTATATGCAGTGTACAATAGGTGTGTTAGAAAACAGATACAATTACATGTAGAAGATCTGAACAAACCAGAGCACAATGATCCACAGTCATTACAGGAAATGCTAAAAATATTTTTTTTTTAAACTCACATGTACTCCCTGCCATGGCTCAAAGCATTTGTAAGCATCACATAAGAAAAAATGATAAACTACACTGACACAATTATAGTCTAAAAAGAGAAACCTTCAAAGATTTCCTGAGTGATTTTGCCTGTGTTTTTCATTACATCTTGCCATATTTATCATATGATGGCTTGTCACCAAAGGACAACATGAAGTGGCCACCAATCAGAACATTCTGTTAACTTATACACCTAATAAAATAAAAAATTAAGGCAATCATGTTAACCTACTTTCTGAAGATAAAACATTGCATCACTTTTTACATTTTTGACTGCACAACAGAAAGACAGTTTGTTAATCCAAGAACCATTTTGATCCTTCACGTCCCACGTTCCATATTACTAATTAACACTGATGTTTCCAAGTATTCTGTTTTTATTTTGTCAAGTTTTGGCAGAAAAGAAATAACTCACTTTTACTGATTCCCATACAAATGATTAGTGACGAATTCATGTGTGATAGGTATTTGGTATTGTGTATTCTGTATATATGTGTAATTTTAATGTAAATTGTATGATCTCATGTAATTAAGTAGAAGGCCACTCAAAATTCATGATGAGGAAAGAAAACTGCTGGGGACACTTTAAATCTCATCAGGTGTTAAAAGCAGAGCATATGGAGGAGAGGTTTGCCAAGATATTTATCAGCTATCCCTCACAGAAATTTAGCTGGAACTCAAATCTCGATTTTAAGCCAAGTCTCTGGTATAAGGCCAAAAACCTGTTACCTCAATGCTACATGCACAAACCCATTAAACAGACTTTGATGTTTATTTGCCCACCTTACAAATGATGTTTATGACTATGGCAACTACATCAGCTGCATGACATCAAAGTTAAAAAGTTTTCAAAGACCTCATTTCAAATTTAAATTTTAGATATTCAGATGGCACTAAAATATATATGATATGACCTACTGAGGTCATTTTCACAGATTTGTATTTTAGCTTAGATAAAGTAACACATTTTCCTTCTCAACAGTTTAGTCTCTTTTCCTTTGTCTCTGCTCTCTCAACTCCTCAGCTGAACATGAAACCCTTCACATACAGAGTGATGGAGAAGAGTAAGCCGCATAGTGCAAAAGTACTATGTCTAATGCTGACGTTGGAACCATTGGGTCAAAGTCATTACTTGTGCTATTTATTGACTATATTCACTCAGAAGGATGTGTTTCAGTTGCTCATAATGTCTGTCATTAAGTGAAGGGCTTTTTAACTGCTGTTATTTAAGTTCTATAGCTCACTCTGAGGTGAATGATGCTAATCAACAGCTATTAATATTGATAGCGTAACAAGGTCCTTCGTTGCCTTCATATATACAACACTTTATGAATAATTCTGGGATTAGTGTATTGACTCTGAACCAACCTCCTGTATTGACACCCCATCATTGTACTCTGATTT